ACAGGGCAACCGGAAACCGAGATATGCCGAGGTCGATCCAAGGTCTAAAACACTGCATTTCTATGCAGAGGTAAAGAATTATCAGAATTGTCGCAAGCTATTGATAGAACCGGCCCAGTATCGGTCGCATTAGAGAAAGGTGTTTGAGGCTCGTTTGAGAATTGAGAACTCGTAAGTCGACCCATAATAGCCAACATTTTTAGAAGACGATCTCCTGATAATGCCCTCAAAGTAACATTATTGAATGCTCTCTTGCTACGAATAAGCCAATTGTTGCATGGTTGCTATAGCTGATCTTATGCATCATATGATGGCGGTCAAGAAAGTGTGACAGATGCTGATTGGGTAACCGGGGACGATCAAAGTCAAGTCTTACAACATGAAATGTGATAGTTAATGAGGAGATGCTTGGTCCTCAATGTGTTGCTCAAAATGTTCTGAGAGATGAGCTTCTTTGAGGGCACTTGTGCACGGAGTTGCTAAGCAACTGAAGTAACTGTCAGTACTTGGTAGCTTACCCCGGATTTCGAAGCTGTTGCTGTAGATGGAGCTGGAGCTGAAGCTGGAGTGTGGAGACTCCGGGTGTCCGGGTGTCCGGAACCGGCATCTATCTTCAGGCGCAGAAAAGAATGGCAACATATCAACGATAAGGTATCATATCATGATGATACTGCACATGCCAATTCTTTGCCCAAATCACACAATTGTCCCCCTAATTAAACATGCCGGCTAGCAATTTACTCCTGATGCTCGTCTAGAGTCACACGGCTCGATGGTTTTTCTAGCTTCCTCGACTAAACTTGCCCGATCTCAACCGCGGCCCACCAAACAAGGTCAAGCAAGATACCTACAGAAGAAGCTTCAAAGTCTTCCCTTCCCGTCAACTCCCGTGGACAACAAACAACCCCGGGAGAGCGCCAACGCTAACGCGTGAAACTGGCGATTCAATGTAACTGTCAATATCAATATCAATATCAATATACATAAACAGAGTCTCACACCGTAACACGGAACTTGGCCGAAATGATGCCTCAGGCCCTGCCCGGCCCCGTATCCACTTCCCTTGAGCCGAGAGTGACCCATGATAGCTCCGAGCTATGAGTAACAGTTTAGCACATTCTACCCCGGATTTCGGCTTCTGCGTGTTACTCATAAACTCTTGCATTCCTCCCCTTCCTATATCTGTCTATCTTCTGTCTCTTGTTCTTTCTACCTATAATAAATTGTATCTTACCTACTATACCTACTGCACCTATATATTAACAAACATAACGGAATGGCCCCATTTCTGAATACGCCCATGGACACAAGAAATACATACACCGACAGACGATAACCTCTTCGTGGAAATGGCTACTTGCAGTCTCAAGTCGCTGCGGCGACCATCACTCACCCTCATGTCTGGAGCGAGGAAGGGGCCTTTTCGTTTCAATGGCCTCATCTCAAAAGCTGCCACTCGTGGTTTGGCTACCGTCACCGCTCAAACAACACAGCCAGCTATGATGATGGAAGACCACAACACTAGACTGATCAACATGGGCTACAACTACAACTACATCGAACATGTCGAAAACCTCGAACAGTACCGCCTCGGAGGCTTCCATCCCGTATCCCTAGGTGAAACCATCAACAACCGCTACTTGGTCCTCAACAAGCTGGGCCACGGTGGATACTCAACTGTATGGCTATCATGGGACATCTTGAAACAGAAGTATGCCGCGTTGAAGATTGTACTAGCAGATTTCGGTGAAGATTCAACAGAAGTCGATGTCCTTCAGCGTCTGGAGGCAAAAGCTGGAAAGAAACATCCTGGAAGGTCTCTCATCAGACATGTCACCGATAACTTTCACTTCGAAGGTCCCAATGGAAGACACACCTGTCTGGTTAACGATCCGGCGATGATGTCGCTGCGCCTTGCCAAGGACGCCTCATTCACAAAACTCTTTCAGCCACGGACTGCCCGAGCTATCGCCGCTCAGGTTGTGCAGTCCATCGCGTACCTCCATGAGGGCGGTGTAGTACACGGCGACCTCCACCTCGACAACATCTTGCTCCAGCTTCCGGACCGAATCAAGCGATTATCGCCTGATCAACTTCATGAGCGACATAGCCATCCAACGACAGTCCCTGTGACGAGACTCGACGGACTTCCTCTTGATGAAAATGCACCTCGAAACGCTGTGCTGCCAATTTGGCTTGGCCAAAAGAGCGAGGATGTAGCTCTGGCAGATGCAAAGATATTACTGGGCGATTTCGGCGAGTCCTATTTACCAAGCCAAGAAAAGCGTCAATATTCCAACACTCCGATTCGCTACCGGGCACCCGAAACTCAATTCCCCGATGTGTGTCAACCTCTCTCGTTCAGCTCCGATATATGGAGCCTTGGCTGTCTCCTCTGGAACGTCGTCGGACAACGCCCGCTGTTTGACGCCTGGACCCTCTCAGAAGATGACATTCTTCAAGACCAAATCGATCTTCTTGGCGAAATCCCAGAAGAGTGGTCTGCCTACGGCGCTAAGCGATCAGAGTACTGGGTCGAGGACGTCGAAGAAGAGGCGTCGACGCAAGCCACTACTCAGAGCGGCTTCACATGGAATGACCGCTTTGAACGCTGTGTGCAACAGGGACGAAAGGAGAGCGGCATGAAACCCATGTCAAAGGATGAGAAGGAGGCATTTATTGATATGATGAAGAAGATAATTACCTTCCGCCCTGAGGATAGGATAACAGCTAAAGACCTGCTGGAGTCACGATGGATGAAACAATGGGCGTTGCCGGAGCTGAAGAAGCTTGCGGCTTCATGATTGATGTTAAAAATGGGATTGGCAGTCTGAATTAGCGAGTTAGGGAAAAAAGCGTTTATTTATATGGATCATAAATCAGATTTACTTAATACCAATTGATGCATGCTTATACTTGTCATAACCGTGGAAACTGGGTGATTGCCATGAACTCTCAATGTTGTAAATGATCCGTGAATATGGTCCATGTGGCCATCGGTTCTTTCATACATGTTATACGCAATCATACACAATTTGTACCTCCAAACTGATGGTAAAACAAACAACGTCCCTGCAAAGCACAAAGATCAAGTAACTTATTACCGCAAAGAGGGAGAATATAAGAAAGCCTGTATATATTTGGTTGAGAGCTTGGTCTTGATTCTACAAGTTTGTATCATGCCTTGGTTTCCATGACCTCCGTAGTAACTCTGGGTTAGCAGACTAGAGTAAATTGCAACGATTAGAGCCTCTCAGGAAAGGGACACACGATATCGAGAACATCTTGGAGTGAAACTATGCGAAATTGTGTTTTCGGGCTCAAGATTACGACTTAAACGCCAACATGCACTCAGATTGACGTAGATCAGCAATATACACGAAGACTTGCCTGTATAAATACTACGCATGTACCAGTCCCGATATTCTCTTTCGACTTAATAAATTATTGCTCTTTATAAGAAGTATTGTAATATATTATACCTTGCCTTTAAACTGGTAGTTCTATATTTCAGTCTGCCAATATGGCGAAATGTTCCATACTGATATGAATTCTCTATTATTTAGAATGACTACTATCTCTCAAGACTGGCTAAATCACTCAACTATATATTGTTACCACATCCACTCTCAAGACCGCCTTCGACTACCAGCTTTCAGATACTTTCGAGGGCAAGAGTTACTTACCCAAGGACGTAGCCTATATCACTGGTATGGAGCATTGATAATGAACAGACTCTGTGCTTTCTGTATTCTGTTCTTTATACAATTATATTTTGAAGTATTCTCGCGCCCCAATGAAGTACTGGCGTAGATTGATAATAATATTGGCAATCTACGGCCTCTTTCACCCACACACACAAAGTTCTTTTCTACTTTGGCAAGGTCAGGAACCCCTTCATATTATCACCATATCACACCGAGCGACTCCAATACTCAGAACAATTTTATGAGACTAGCGATTCCTATGACAGCCACTGATTATTTATTCGTCCATAAGTATATAGGCTCTCTCACTGCCAAAGTTTGAAGGCTCTTGTTTGGCTCATGTGAGAGCTTTCCCTATGAAGGGCTGGCCCAAGCCGTAGAACAAAAGGTACTTTGACTCATCTATCGAATACCCTATATAAGATCCCACACATCCTCATATTCCCAAATTCTTTATGAGAGAGGGTTGTGTCAAGAGCCAAGGGAGTTTGGCTGGATGTCACTGGCTGATGCTTTACGAAAATCAACTCTCATTACTAGACAGCAAAACGCCACATGATACCTTAAGAACATTCAGAGCAAAGCGCATCTTTATTTCCATGTTGCTACAGAGTCAAACATCAGCTTCCTGTTAAGCACGATGTAGCCTGTCACCCTTTGACATCCTTTACTTCAGAAAGACAATATCTGAGACCACGATCATCCTTGTAATAGCGATAACACAAAAATAACAATCATTTAACCCTCCGCGCGTTGTCGGGCTGTACTGAGACTGCCACCGAGTATCACGCTCGATGTGCGTGATACAACCAACGAATTCGATTAAACTATGCCCAGGGCAAACTTTGCAAGGATAGCGAATCCTTAGACATCTCTATTCATCTTGCTCAAGCTGGTGCAAGTACCGGTTTTATACCCGGAGGCAAAAAAGCTGGTACAAGTCAGATATGGTGTCTCTTATAGCTTGGACCGAATTCGATGTTAATCAATGCGATATAGTGTGCAAGCAGAAGATACCTGGTATAGAGTATAGCTGCAAGTTCACACGGATTGCATCACTTATATAACTATGTTTCGAATTACGAAGGAGGGAGACTCCTTGATTCAGGGTGTATTTAAACAGGCAATTTTATTCAGTGCTATCAATCATTGGATCTTATAGCCGAATAACCAAAAAAGTTGAGGGGTCATATCTCATACGCAGAAGGGAAAGGAATAATGATATGAGACCCCCCCCTTTAGAATGTTTTGCCCAAATAATTGCCATCTATTTTCCGGTGTATCCAAACCAGCTCAGTCCCACGACATACCATCATTGTCGTACCTAAACAACCTCAGAATCGCTGACGCAACCTGCTGTCCATCATGGTCCAGATCCGCCGTCTCAGCCGCTCGATCCGCATGCTCTAGATCCTTAATCCCACCACTATCAATTCTCATCTGAATCTGTCTCTTGACCATGTCCTCGTCAAACGCCAGATGCGCCTGTGATGTGAATAGTCGGTTGGGGATGTACAATCCCTGAATGGATGTGTGATTACTCGTACCCCAGACATGGACATCGGTGTCTGGCTCGAGAAGGCCGTTTGATGACTCAACCGTGGGGGCTTCGAGGACTTGGTCTTGGTGCATTTGATGGAGGTAGACTTTGTCATCTTGTGTACGGAACAGGCGCTTGCCTACGGGTGTGAGGGTGATTGCATTGTGGCCAAGTTCCCAGTCGTTTGTAGGAGACGGGCCAACTTTGCCTCCTAGTAAACGGGAGAGAACCTGGTGGCCAAAGCAAACGCCTGTGAAGTGAAAGTCGGGGCGCTTTATCCATAATTCTAAATACTGTGAGTTTACATTCCAAGAGAGAAACAACGAGCTACTCACGCTTCAAAAGATCGAGCAAGTCATGAATCCACTGGTTGTCGCCATGCGCGTCATACATACTGCCCGTAATGAGCAGTCCATCGTAACCCTCAAACTCCTCCACCTTGGGCATGCGGCCGCCCTCTTCTGTCACGACAAAGACCTGCTCTGTCTCAACGCCCAGCGGAGGATGATGTTTGCTGCCGGCCTCTGAAAAATGGCGATGCAGAATCTCACCAAACGAACCGTGCTCGGTCTGGGTGTGAGGATGAGGAGTATCAGTTTCGAGAACAAAGACTTTGACGACTTGTGCGTCGATTGTGGGCTTGTAATGTTGGCCCATGCTGCTTGCTGTGGTATAGAGCTTTTGTAGTGGTGAAGGTGTAAGTGTGCGAATGTGAGGTTGTGTGCAGGGTTGTGGAGGGGCAGTGAAGCGTGGGAGATGCTTTGCAGCGTTGGATGTATTTAAACGGCAGGACAACGACCGAATCCCAGTTCTGTACATTTTTATAATATTACAATATGTAATTGTACAAGATTTTCTTGGACTCTAAGATTCTATAGACTTGATCCTTTTTTCCGTCTTGACGTCAGCTAAGACTCTTGACAACGGCGAACTGGGCGAGCCAAGCCCATGATGACGGCAGCGGGTCATGAATAGTGGGTTTGAGGCGGCTGCTCGATGTTAATGTTCTGCCTGCATCTGCGGTACAGGATGCACATCTTTCCTATTGCATGTAACCTGCTGTCAGAAGTATTTGTCCCTGTAAATCAGGGCATTGGTAGGGATCTCTGTTCCAATGAGAGTGAGATGCAGTTACCAATTGAGGCTCTGACATGAGGGGCACCCACACTCAAGCTGGTTGGCTTAGAACAAGCATACCAAATAACCATGATACTCTATTCGACAAATGCTAAATTCGATGATTATTTACAGTTTACTCTCTTCCTCAGCTCCCCAGTAGAATGTACTAATCTCAACTCCAACATACTCATCATTGTACTTTCTCGTCTCCTCTCCCTCCCTTGCTGCTCCCGCGCACACAAGCAATGGCATAAAGTGCTCTCCCCCATTAGGAGGGTGCATCATGTCAGCATATGGGAATTTTCTCCACCCTTTGAGAGCCTTCCACCGCTCATCTGTATCCTTCTTGAGCGTCGCCTCAGTCAATGTGTTGTTCCATTCATCAGACAAGGTTCGGAATTGCGCTTGCTGTTCAGGCCCCGAACTACCCAACATCATCATGGCGCGAATGTTGTGAAAGCTTGCGAATCCTGAGCCAACGACGGCGATATTATTGGCTCGCAATTTTCGCAGTGCTGCGCCCATACGGAGATGTTCCTCAGGATCCTCTGACTCGAGAACTGAGACCTGGACTACGGGGATGTCGGCTTTGGGGTGGACGAGCAGAAGCGGAATAAAAACTCCGTGGTCCCATCCTCGCTCGTCATCCAATTCAGGTGTAAGGCCTTCTCCACGCAGAGCATCGGCGATCTCGTTTGCGATCTCTGGGTGTCCGGGTGCTGGGTACTTGAGAGAGTATGATTCACGAGGGAACCCGTAGTAATCGTAGAGAAGTTTATGGGATGCGCCTGATGAGATAGTGGGCTTTGGAGTTGACCAGTGGGCGGTGACAAGGATGATGGCTCGGGGTTGATCTGGGGTACCAAGCTTGAGGATCTTGGGGACGCGGTTCTTTAAGGAGTAGACAATGCTTTCATGCTTGGGGTCGCCAAGAACAGGCATGGGACCTAAACGTGTTGGCTATACTGGTATTTGAGGCAGATCATAACTATGGTGTTGACTTACCACCACCGTGGGATAGCGCAATTACAGGGGCAACCTTTGACATGGTGGATGAATGTGAATGTCTCTGGGATGAAAACGAAAACGACTTGAATAAAGATGAGGATAAAGTTCTTCGTGCAATAAGAGGCCAATTCCACATGAACTGCTATTTGTTGACTGCTATAATATACTGCAAGGTATCTTGTATACGATTCTACTGTAGCTCACCCCTTCATCATGGCGGGGTCCTCAAGCTATTTATCGACTTGTCCCATGATAATGGGGCCATCATGGCTTGTGGAGCATTTTCCGTTTTCCGCTTGCTACTTCCGAAAACCTCTGCCGAAATCGACGAGATTCACGATGTCAGCCAATGGAATCACTCTTGGTCATTACCCGCGCGCGATGCTCCACTTTGTTCGCGCGCGTCACTGTTTGTAATCCCCGCATCCCGAAGGCCCCCGTCGGCTCCCGCTGTATTTCTGTTCGCGATGGCCTCATTTGCAAATTGCCACTTATATTATAAATCTACAACAACATTCATATCAAAGGCAATGAGAAAGGGTTTAGTAAGAACACATGCTATACTCAGCTCTCATAACATAGTATTATGAATACCTTAGTAAAGCTATGGTAAGAGGCACGAAAATGACGTCGTGCGTAACTACATAATCGACTCATGTATCTCGACCTTAGGAGCGAACTTCAAGGGTGCCATCTCGTTAATGGATCTTTTATATAAGCGAATGTGATCCATCCAGCTCTTTCTCGAGTACTCGTACGCTATCAAAAGATACACCTTAGATAAACACAGATACATCACCCCTGCCATGTCCAACAGCCTTGATTCTCGATCCAATCTCAAGAGGGCTACCCTCAGTCACCATAAAGTGACCAGAGTCCTTGGCTGAATCTTCATTCGCCCCAAGAATCTTGTAAATGTTGCTACTCACAAGATCAATAGCCTCCTTCTCATTCAATCGTCCACCTCCATTTTTGAATGCAGTACCAGCTGCAAAGCCCAAGTCACGAAGCTCCCAGTCTTCTTGCAGGCCAATCGCAGCAACTACGCCTGCGTCAACCAAGGCATCAATGGCTGTACCATTGGTAAGTGGTGCACCGGTCAAGGCGCGGCGTGAGTCCCAGCTTTCACCCTTTGCCTGCAGCGGCGACAGGATGACTCCAACGCCAGCCTCTCCAAGCTCCTTAGCCAGCAGGTGCGCCTCAGCACCACCAATGATGGCCAGTTTGAGACCTCCAACTCTCTTGCTCGAGTCTGCTGCTGTGAGGACACCCTCGATGTCGGACTTGATTCGAAGAGCTGTTGCAATGCCATCTGCACTGTTGATAGTGAGGGCAAGAACTTGCTCGCCACTGATCACCTTCTTGAGGTACGCCACTTCTGAGAACGGATTGCTCGCAGGTTCTGGAGTTGTAGCAGCTGTAAGTAGCTTGTTTCTCAATCCACCAAAAGCGGCTGAGTAGCTAGTTGAACCTCTGACATTCAGGTCCAGAGTGTAGTGAACTGCAAGGTCGGGAGCGAAGACTGCACCTTCTTCGAGAGTCGTCAATGCCGAAGTCAGGAATCCGACACTGGTACCAAAATGGGTTGCGCCACCCACAAAGACTGGTGCTGAGACGGCTCTGGTAACTCCGTATCGAGAGGCAACGCGCAACTTCTTGGAGTCAAGAGCAAGGCCATCGATAGCCCGAGAGAAGATCAATGGGTTGGGCCCGTTGTTAGTTGCGTCCTCAGCATCAATCTCGCTAAGACCCAGAGTACCACCTACGGCTGTGAAAGATCGAGTCAAATAACCATTCTTGAGCGCAATGGTCTTTGCACCAGTTGCAGCCACAGCTTTGAACTCCTGGTCGCAAGTGCCCATGCAAGAAATCTTGCCGTTGTGAACGACCACATTGACTGGCTTGTCTCGAGATTCGTAAGTCTTCTCATCTTCAAGGAACACCTTCTTGACGCCAGTGAAGAGTATAGTATCAAGCTTGCTTGGCTCCTCAACAATCTCGGCAGGCTTCTCGACAGAAGCAGCTGCTTCTTGTGATTTCATCAGCTCAATAGGATCCTCGAACTGAGCTGTGCCGTCAATCCAGACTTGCACAGGAGTTGCGCCAACACTAAGAGGATCACTATCCCAGACAGCAACGTCGGCATCAAAGCCAGGCTTAACTTTTCCTAGACGCTTGCCCAAACCGAGTAGTTCAGCGGGAGCAGATGTCACACTTGCCAGTGCGACGTGGTAAGGAAGGCCGTAATGATAAGCCTTGGCTGCTTCAAAAAGGACATGCTGTGCGTTGATCACAGGGTTGTCGCTGACATAGACTACTGTGAGATTGTTCTCATAAAGTATCTTTCCAGCATACTCTGAGCCAATGTATGCTTCAGTCTTGTAAAACATGTTATCAGCGAAAAGAGCAGATGCAGGAGGACGTCCGCCCCAGGTTCGCTTAAGGATCTAATGGATGTTAGCAACAGGAGCCTTTCCATACAACGCGATCTTACCTCTGGAACCAGATATGTCTGGTGAGCATGATGGAAGGCTCGCACAGGGAACTTGAACTCGTTGGTGTGATCCACCATAGCCTCCAAGTCGGGGATTGTGTAACAATGTGTGTTGATATGAACCTGACCACGAAGCGCAGCAGTGAGGGCCTCCCAGGCGATCTCGCCAGGAAGATACTCATCCAAGGACTCAACACCCTGAGACTCAGCCTTGGCGCACCAGTCATCCTGCTTCTGGATCAAATCTCTTGCTTGCTCAAAAGCGTGACGGAACTCATAGCTTTCGCCCATACGGCTGAATGGCCTATTTCCAACCCGGCCATGAACACGCTTCGCGTTCTCGCCGCATGCCATCTTCATGTATCGCCAGTTGCGGTCTGGGTCGGCAAGCAAGTCCACAGCACTGATCTCCTTGCGGCCATCGGGTTTGCCAACTGCGTGCTTGATGACATAGGCCTCTCCGCCAATATTGTTGCCAGAACCAGGAAGGATCAATGAAGTTGTAACACCGCCTGACTTGATGACTTCGATTTGAGGATCAAGCGGGAGCAATGAGTCGATAGCTCGAGCCCAAGGTGTGATGTTATCCGACATCTCATTGCCGTCTGAGTTTCCCTCCAGAGAGGGCAATGGATAGACGCCAGCGTGGCTGTGAGTGTCAACAATACCGCTGGTCAGGCGGCGGCCATGAGCTTCGTAGATAATTGTGTCATCAGGTAGGGAAGCAGTCTTGATGTCCTTCTCAACGCGTTGAATGAGGCCCTTCTCGAGAAAGACATCACCCTGCACCCACTCCCAGCCCTTGCCAGCATACGCATCCTCTTGGCTGGTTCCCTCGGAGGGCTCTCCAATCCAGATAGTAGCGTTCTTGATCAAAGTGGGCTTGCCGCCGTCGATATAACGAGCATTCTTATCTCGGCCGAGACCAGGCGGGTCTTGGGGCTTGACACGGAACTTTTTACACGTCTCGAGATCTTCATTGAGTTTCTGGATAGACAAAGTAGTCTTATTTCGCGGCGCGAGTTGTCGCCATTGAGCAAAGACGATGAAAGTCAAACAGGCTAGAGCAAAGAGTCTGATACCGCGTGAGCGACGCAACAACCGCCTGTTCCGCTGTTGACCAGGATGAAGGCCAACGGGCGCTGGAAGCGAAACGGAGCTGTAAGGCGGAAGTTGGGCCTTTTCATCCATTGCTTCTTCTTGGTGTGAAGCTTCACAATGTCAATGAATGGGAGTCTACAAGATATGAAAGGTAAAAGAGGAGTTGAGAGCTTTGGAATGAAGATCCCGTCTCGTCACTCAGTGATAAGAGGTACATCGCCGGCCTCGGCTGGGATCTCACAGTGATTGGTCTCCACTATGGCGAGCTATCTACGGTGGGTAACACAGTTACAGGGGACCCCAAGCTCTGCCCTCAAATAAAACTGAGTCAAACTGAATGATACCTGCGGATAGGTCACTCTTCAAGTGAGTTATATTGTTCTGAGCTTGTCAAATACGAGGTGGTCTCGCAAAACTACTACGTAGCAGTCAACGGCAAATCGAGTTGGATATGTTGCTTCTTCAGAGTTGGTGCCTGAGCTTTATAATGCTTTCCTGACGATCTTTCTTTCATGGCGAAGTGCTCATCTTATTGTCACCTTACACTTTGAGACCGATGCTCTGGAACTTTTGTTTATCGTCTTCCTTCTGAACAGCGATGGGATTCGTAGTCGCAATCGGCAAAATTGATTCATAATCAGTCGGAACCTTCCTTTGATCTTCTTACTCTAACAATCTATGCAAACCAGTATGGGTGAGACATCGAGACCCGTTCCTAAGACGTTCTGAAATACAACGCGACGACATTGGGTGTTTAAATCATGGACCCTAAAGGTTATGCCTTTCTCATAATCCGCTTCATAAAGAGCCCAAAATTAATAAAGAGATACCAATTGAACCGTGGCCAAGTCTTGCGCCCTAACCATTAATCGACTCTCCCGACCCTTAAGCTGAGAGAATGCCCTGATCACATCGATCACTCTTGACTACCTCTTAAACAGCCGAGTCATTGGTCTGCTTGGCTGCCACTTCGGACACCGATCCAACCGTAGAATTCTCCAACTCATATAACGGTGGCATGGGATCCGGGCTTCGGCCCACGAGCCTCTTTGCGTACCATCCCATTCGCTTGGAATAGTGTCGAACATGATCACGATTCCGGACGCTAAACACGATATCCAGTTCCTCCAGCGACAGTGCCTTCGTCTCTGGGAGCAGGAAATACGTAAACACGAATCCGACCACGTTCCACGTCGCGTACCAATAAAAGGCGCCCGATGGTTTGAATGCCTTTTCCAACATAGGCCACGTAAAGCTGAGTAAAAAGTTGAATGCCCAGGTGATCGATGTTGCTGAGGCCATACCAAGAGCCCGGATATGCAAGGGGAATGCCTCTGCGCTATATGTAAAGGGAACAGGACCGAGACCAGGTGAGTAAACGGCCATGAAGATGTAAATACTGGTGGCGATGAGAGGAAGGCGAAGGCCGTTGTCTTCAATCCCGAAGCATGAGCCGGTCCAATACAGGCAAGCACTCATCATGGGGAACGTAACTAACAGGAGGTTACGACGACCAAAGGTATCAATAGTCCAAATTGCAGGCAGGGCAAAGATCCAGTTGATGGCGCCGCCACCGAATGAGGCCAGGAGGGCTTGAGATCGAGTGTATCCTGCATCTGTAAAGATCTTTGTGCTGTAATATGCGATTACATTAACTGTAGACTTGTCAGTTACATAGTACTGAAGGTTTGTTTTCGGGGGCATACCGCCACAGAACTGCTGCATGAGCATACAGAACCACGAAGACTGCGCAGCTCTCCAGTTCCTCCGTACTGTGAAGAGTTCCTTCAACGTTTTACGGCCTTCTTTGGACTTTTGCTCAACCTCCAAGAACTTCCAAGCGAGATAGAGATCCCGGGCAGCTTGGAGGTCGGCCCGACGAAGCTTCCTAAGCGAAAGGTATGCCTTCTGAAAATCTCCCCTATCCATATACCAACGCGGACTCTCGGGGAGAAGGAAGACCAGAGTACCAACAATCAATGGTGGAAGAGCTGTTGAACCAATCATCCATCTCCAGGGTGCGTACTGGTTCGGCCATTCGAGATTCTGAAAAGCTAAAGAGGAAGCAAAGCCGAGCATGATGCCGAAGGCCGTCCACATCTGCCACATCATGGTCAAGGCGCCTCGGATTGCCTTGGGTGCACATTCAGCTGCATATACGGGAGTGGTACTTGATTTGGCGCCAACTGCAAGTCCGAGGGTGAAGCGTGCAATGATTAGACATATCCAACTGTTAGCAGCAGCTTGCCATATTCCCGTGACGAAAGCCAGGAGACAGGAAAAGGCGATGGTTCCTCGACGGCCAAAGTATCTGTTCAAGGGGGCGTTGAGCCAACATCCGATGAGGGCAGCAGAGGCATACGGTGCGCCATTTGTCAGACCTTGCAGCGCTCTATCTTTGATGTTGTACTCTTCAAAGTAGAAGTACTGGATCATTAGTCTGTTTACCTCTTGCCTCTCAGGGAGGACTTACCTGTGCACCATTAATGACTGTCTGATCCATGCCCTGCACAATAGCGCAGCCCGCACACAAAGCGCAGAGGAAGTAAAGCATCTTTGGCTGAGACGTCCAACGATGTTCATCTTCGTTCCTCAGGAGCTCCTTATCCTCCTCGGTCAACTCCTCTATCGCCTCGTATCCTTTCGGCGTGTTGATGACCTTGGCTATGAGTGCGCCTTTGGAAAACCACGGCCTGTAGCTGTCCAATCCCTTATCCTGGGCGAAGTTCTCTGCATCCGCGACCAATTCGTCATGCGTCATGTTGGCCAGTGGATTTTGCAGCACTGCAGTTGTTGATCTCGTCTTGGCTTCAGGAGGTCTGGCATCTGGTGGTGTCGGGTCAGAGCGAGGCTCACCTTGAATTTCTTCAATCGTTTCCATTTCGGCTGCTCATTAATGATCCAGTGATATGCGATGACAGATTTTGCAAGCCCATTGGAAGCAGGACCTCGGAAAGCACTGAGAGGACCATTTCAAGCCCATTTCGAGGACGAGACCTCTTCTTAATAGAACAATTCACGTGGCATCTCGGGGGTTCTTCCTGGTAACTTTGAGTGGAAAGCATGTTATGCAGCGTGGAGGTTGGGTCGATGGCAACTTTGCCTTCTTCTCAAAGCCATTGACGTGTCAAGTTCCGAGGTATAAGAGGACAAGAAACTCACCTCTTGGTCTTTGCGGTTCTGTCTGAGGATCTCGGCCATCAGAAGCATCGGGTCGACTCATTAGCTTCATTGATGCCGTCTCTACTGGGTTCGTTGGCTCACGAACGATAACTCCCCTCAATCTGCTTGTTGAAAATCCGGGTATCAATCACACGACAAAACGCGGGGAAGTGGTCGTAATGATGTAGAGTTTCCACGTTGTTTATTTAACGTTCACCAACAGGCTTGAACGAGCTCGTGATAACAGCCTTGGTTACTCATGAGAAGGCCTTGCGGAAAGCCATTTAAAGACTGCCCATTCATATATGACAAGGAATCTCTTGGACTGAAGCTCATGCTCTTGTTTCACGGGCTTTTTTCTTCTTTTCCTTTTCTTTTTGGATACATTCATAACTACATAGGGTTCGAGTTCTCGTGGCTGTATCTAACTAAGATGGCATCATTGAGTCTAAAGCTCGTTTATGCTGTGACCCGCCCGCCTATCTTTATTAAACTAGATGCTTGTTTTGCGATCGTGATCTCGCCTCGTGGCTGACGTGTCCAGGGTATGGCTTGTCAATCAACGCACAGTCTCAATTCAAGACGTTCAAGTTCCAAGAAGGATGCGTCTACCCTGACCTTGTAAGTACGAACCACAAAGCCAAGTCAAAACAATGGTCATATATCTGTGGCGTCGAAAAAGTTATTGAGGTTGTCCGAAAACAAAGGGATAAATCTACTTCAATAGTCCTGTTATGGCTTTGCTCCTGTTTTCGCCCTTCAGATTTAGTATACCTATGAATTAGAATTTTAAATACCCCGAGCTTACATACGTCTGTGATTGCTTGTTATTTACCGATCAGGTACAGTGTATCGGTAGGATCGAGACCGTTGAATGGAGTACTTAGAGTATCCACTTTCAGATGCTAAGCGCCATGATCCATGGTTCAGGGAAGGCTGTGTTACTGTTGCTAGGTGATCGTCACACCTGTAGTTCATCCTCCTCGGGCGTTTCGGGAGGAGGGTATGGAGTAAACAGTTGAGTTGGAGCTCTGAATGTCACGATATTCGTCAATTGAGCAACTGAGAGTATAAGCGAGAGTCATCAAGCAAATGAATTGAATGTTGAAGAAATGCAAGCAATTTAATCAACCTCCACTGATGGTCTCCCAGTCACTAAAACAAAGCGGGCCGCCAGAAATTGTGAGACCGGTGTAAGACAGAGCTGTCCGAATTGGGATGCGTTGCCATGCCAACAGTGCGACGTAATTTGTTTGGATTGCCATGCTAAGCTCCTCCCCCACCATTGGATCCTCACCTCTCTCATACCCGCAACCAAACCCGATCCAAAGCTCCGCTCGCTCCGTACTTTACTTTATCTGTCCTACTGTACTACTACAACATCCTAAGGAGAAAGGAGACATTCCGAAGAATCATTCATTGTCTTGTATTGCGATACCAATTTGCGCGTTGTTTGTCTCTGCTGTCTTTGTTTGTCTTGTCCCACCGCCATTCGACGACGATCTAAACCTACACCGACCGCAAGCTCGTACACAATCAACGCCTCGTTGATATCAGAGTTTCAAACCACCACCAACAGGAGGCGCAAATCAACATCGACGCCAACACTGCCTTCACCATCTCTAGTACGCGATTCGGATCTTCTCAGCGGCAGCAGCCGTCGAGATACAAAGTATCCTTCGCTATTCAGACCTTGAACCGTCACTCGAATAGCTCAGCTCGCATTGTCGCAAGTACCCGTGTCCACTGCATTCCATTCCAGCCTCTTCTCACCAGTCATGGACCCGAATATGTCGCGCCCGCCCGACTACAGCCTCCCTCCCTATGATGACGAGGACCTTCACACACCCACCGGTTACAGTCCCGCTGCTGTGAGACTGTTGACATCCGAAGAACACTACGACCCTCATACGTATGTACCACCCTCATCACCCAGCCAGATTCAGACACAGACACCTCCTGCACGCCCTCCCTCATCTCCTTCTGTTTCCCCTTCTACCTCATGTTCAAAGACAACACCCTCCCCTCTCAAACCGCCAGTAGCGTTTCCTCCTCCATTGTCAATTTCACCTGTGAGCATCACCATGTCTTCAGAAAGGGAGGAACGGGCCTTCAGGTCCAGCCCTGTCCAACAAGATGATGCCAGAGGGAATATCTCCAACCACAATCAGCAACATCCTTCACCAAATCCCCCTTCATACGCTTCTTCAATGGCCGAATCCCAGACCTTATTGCCTAAGAGGCCAATTATCGGCGGCCAGACTGCAAAGCTGCAGAACAAGAATAGAACTAGTGTCCATGTCGCATTTGCAGATCTTCCTCGAGATCTACCAGAGATTCCCGATGGTATCAGCGACAGGCGAAGAGTTCACAAGGAACAACACCACCTTGGCTTAGACACGACACCTCCCGTACCACCGCGCCCATTGAGCCGCTTAAGGGATGTAAACTCACATGACAAACTTCCTAGTATCCGAAGTCCTCGAAACCTCAACTATCAGCCGAGTGTTCGATCATCGAGATCGGGTTCCATCTTCGACGATGCCCCATCAATGGCGCCCCCAGGGGGTTCCTACGTGTCCTATGGTACGCATGATGATGGCTCTCCCCAGCGGCCTTGGACGCCCTCATCACGGATATCCGGATTCACAAGATCCGACCTATCAAGACCTCCTCCTTCAGATGGCATGTATGAGCCCTCCGACTTAAACGGGAGTCCCAGACCAGGAACGCCATCCTCGAGATACGGCGGCAGTCCAAGACGTCCACTTCCTCCGGCACCTCTCTTTTCAAACTCAAGACAGCCTGTCCCGCCAATTGCAGACGATGCGACTATCTCTATTCCTCTGCATGATACTTACGACGACGACGTTTTCGCGCCTGAATCCGACCTGAGTGATGCACGACCTCATCCAGTTGATCGCAGCTCGTATATGTCTTCTGAGTCGCAAGACACACTAAACGAGGGAGACATGGAAGACTACGACAAGGTTGAGCATTATGGCCCAGCCCCGACTGGCGCGCAAGAGAGAAGAGGCGTTCGCGCACCTCAAATGGTCAGAAAGGAGGTCCAGCTCATCAACGGTGAACTGGTGCTGGAGTGTAAAATCCCGACAATTCTGTACAGTTTCTTGCCTCGAAGAGGCGAGGTTGAGTTCACTCACATGCGTTATACCGCCGTTACGTGCGACCCTGATGATTTTGTCGAAAGGGGCTACACATTGCGACAAACCTTTGGCAAGACTGTTCGAGAGACGGAATTGTTCATTTGTGTCACCATGTACAACGAAGATGAAATAGGATTCACTCGAACGATGCATGCCGTCATGAAGAACATCTCTCACTTCTGCTCTCGAACGCGCTCCCGTACCTGGGGTGAGACTGGATGGCAAAAAATTGTCGTCTGTATTGTTTCTGATGGCCGAGAGAAGATCCACCCTCGTACTCTAGATGCACTCGCTGCCATGGGTGTCTACCAGCACGGTATCGCAAAGAACTATGTCAACAACCGTGCTGTGCAAGCACACGTCTACGAATACACAACCCAGGTCTCTCTCGATTCCGACCTCAAGTTCAAGGGTGCCGAGAAGGGCATTGTTCCTTGCCAGATGATTTTCTGTCTCAAGGAAAAGAACCAGCGTAAGCTAAACTCTCACCGTTGGTTCTTCAATGCCTTTGGAAAGGCTCTGAACCCTAACGTCTGCATTTTGTTGGATGTTGGTACTCGTCCTAGTGGTACCTCACTTTACCACCTCTGGAAGGCCTTCGATACTGACTCCAACGTTGCTGGTGCTTGTGGAGAGATCAAAGCGATGAAGGGCAGACTGGGCGCTAACCTGCTCAATCCTCTCGTTGCGTCCCAGAACTTCGAGTATAAAATGTCCAACATCCTTGATAAGCCTCTCGAGTCCGTCTTCGGATACATCACTGTCCTTCCCGGTGCCCTGAGTGCATACCGGTACCACGCGCTTCAGAATGACGAGACTGGTCACGGTCCTCTCAGCCAGTATTTCAAGGGTGAGACATTGCATGGTCAACACGCTGATGTCTTCACTGCCAACATGTACCTCGCTGAAGATCGTATCCTTTGCTGGGAGTTGGTCGCTAAACGCGGTGAGAGATGGGTTCTCAAGTACGTCAAGGGATGTACTGGTGAAACCGATGTGCCTGGTAAGATACTCTACTACATTACATCATGAAAGCAATACTAACTCGGTGTAGATACTGTTCCTGAATTCATCTCTCAACGTCGGCGATGGCTCAATGGTGCCTTCTTTGCCGCTGTCTACTCTCTTGTCCACTTCAAGCAGATTTGGTTTACTGACCACACCCTGGCCCGTAAAATCCTTCTGCACATGGAGTTCTTGTATCAGTTCATTCAGCTCATGTTCACCTTCTTCTCCCTGGCCAACTTCTACCTCACCTTCTACTTCGTTGCAGGCGGTTTGACAGACCCCAAAGTCGACCCGTTCGGACACAACATCGCTACCGTCATCTTCCACATTCTGCGGTATGCATGTGTGCTTCTCATATCAACACAATTCATCCTTTCGCTCGGTAATCGGCCTCAAGGCTCCAAGAAGCTGTACCTGATCAGTATGATTATTTACAGCATCATCATGGTTTATACGACGTTTGCTACATTTTACATCATTATTCACCAACTCACGTCCAAAGACAAGATCAAGATGGGTGATAACGTCTTTACGAATATGATTG